TCAAGGTGAGGCGTTAGTTTTCTTTTCGATCTTAGGTGATGTCAGGTCAGATTGTAACTTGAAACCTAATTGCATTCTTTCCAATTTTTATAGGAAGAAATACACTGTAGAATGTGTACATCCACATTGTCCATCTTTGCTTGACCCGATCGCAATTCTCAATCGCGTTCAGCAACACAATTGGGGCGCACTTACTTTCTACCTCGGCAAGAAAAAGTAGTTTTGAGAACTGGTTACAGCAAGGGCTACACTTCGATCAACCAATGGGTGTCCTGCTCGAGTGATCTCTAGCGTTGTCCACCTTCCCGGCATGCAATTTCTTTGACCCTAGCTTTCATAATCGTTCCTGCCGAATGCTCCCGCATCATCCTTCAGTCCCTCATCGCGTTTCGTCATATTCCCATTCGTTTGATTTCCTCACCGCATTCGCCGCTCACTTCAGTACCTTTTACCCCCCATACTACCGCGTTCCACAACCGTTCTCGCCTCGCAGCGGCGTGGCAGCGTCGAGCTCGCACTTCAAATAGCCAGCCCACAGCAGCCATGGAGCCTCGTGAAGTGCCGCTTCTGCGCCATCATAACCCCTTTTTGTGCCATCTCGCCCTCTCTGTGGTCCTATCTCGCCGTCGCTCTCTCTGCGAGACTATCTCGCCGCCCCTCATTCTGCCCAACCATCGTCGGCGAATCTGCGCCCATATCGCGCCAACCACTGCCATCCGCCATCGCTACCGCCACCTGCGCTGCGCCTCTCCGCCGCGCCTCTCCGCTGCGCCGATCGGTTTTCCGCTCCGCTCACCACGATGGGCGGCTTTCCGCCGCTGCTCGCGCTGATCGCGCTCACCCTCATTCTCGGTCAGTCCACCCGCCATGCCGCCCCGCCATTCCTTTCTGTGTGCGCGTGCCGGCGTGTTTTGTCCGTCCCTTGCCTCGTTGTCCCCACCGGCCCCAAGTCACATCACCTTCACTCTCCGCCATGCGCTCTCCGCCGCGTCATTCAACATGCATGAGAGCGCCATTCGCATTCACGCTGTGCCACACGAGCCAGGGCGATCAGGGCAGATCACGCCAACCAATTCCGCGCCCTGCTCTGCTCCCCTCTCGTCCCTGCTCGCCCTCCCCTGCAGCCAATGACGTCATCCGCGGGGCGTCAGGCCAAGACGTGTCCGCAACGCCGCCGCCGGCGGTGGCGACGGCGATCGCGGTGGGCAGCACCTTCGCGTTCAACTTCACGGCGGCGCGCTGCACCAACCTGCCCACCACCGCCTCCTCCGCCACCGTGCAGTGGACGTCCGCCGCCGCCGCCACCGCCGGTCTCCCCGCGTGCGAGAACGTCACCTTCCTGACCGGCGCTGATTGCACCGGGGTCGTCGCGTCGTCCGCCGCCAAGCCCTCAAGGTCAGCGTGCCGCCTGTGCCATGGCGTGGGGTTGGTGGGGTGGAGAGGTGTACAGTGCGGCCTGTGCTACTAGCACAGGCTCAAAACGAGGGTGTTCTTTTAAGCGCAGCGGAATGCCATAATTCGACTAGCGAGTCGGCAGTGATAAAACTGTCGCGATTTAAGCTATAATGAAATGAGACATCGTGATTAACCAGCCTTTCTTCTCTCGCGTGCTTTCTGTGCCTCCCCTCCCCTCTACAGCCCGACCACGTACACCAGCCGAGCCATTCTCCCCTATCCGTATCCACTGTCGGCTCTCTGCTTTATCGGTACGCTCCTTGTCGCCCTTCCTAGTCGCCCTCCTTGGCACTACTTGCCCAGTCAGTAAAGTGCCTGTCGTTGCATGGCCTGCACGTGCAAGCAGGGCTTCGTTCATGTCGTTTTCTAAAGTGGCACTTGCCAAGGTACGGCGCTACAAGCGCTGCAGTAAGGGCATGGCCAATTGCATAGGGTTGCAGCTTTGCCACGGAAGGTATGGCAAGTTCCCACCTCCGCCAGAGTAGCTTCACTCGCTGCCTCGTGCCCACCAGCGAGTCCTCCTCTCGCTCTCACACCGAATTGACCACTCCCTCACCTCCCCGTGCTGCTCTGCCCGCGCCCTCCCGGTTGCGCCCTGCATCACATCGCGTGGCGTCATCTCATCCCGGTTGCATCGCATCAGCGGGAGACGCTGCGTGGTGGCCGACGGAGGTGGCGGCGAGGGTGGTGGTGGCGACGGCCGTGGCAGTGGGCGCCTACAAGGTCGCCTTCGACCCCTCCTCGCGCTGCGCCACCGTGCCCGCCGCCACCGCGCCCGCTGGCGTCGCCACGCCTGTCACCGTGCAGTGGGGGAGCAGCAGCAGCTTGCCGGGGGGCGGGGCGAGTGCGCCGTGCAACGTGGTGTCGTTCTTCCCGGGCACCAACTGCGACGGCGCCGTCATGCAGCACTTCTACTCCTTCTCCAGGTCAGTACGCGTGGGTGTTTACCTTATACGCTAAACAGTTTCCGTGTGGCGGAAAGTTGCGGAATTGCACGACGAGCATTTTCCCGAAGTTGAAATGCACGTTCGCGATTTGTGCAAGCGTGGACGTGAGTGCAAATCGCGATGTCGCGAATTGCATGGTCAATATTCTAGAGTCGCGTTTGCCCGTCCACAATCTGGGCGCACCGTCCATTACCGAATTTAAATCCTTCATATCTACTGACTCCAACCTCTCGTTCCCATGTCCCCATCTCGCTTATTAGCAGCTTACTCGAGAATATTATTGTGTCGTGGTGGTAGGAGAGAGAGTAGCATTGTGTCATGTCTGTAGAGATCGGTAAACTTATAATGGAAAGCAAAAGACTTCTGAAACAAAAACCCCTAGATTCTCCCTCTAAGGCGTATATATGCTAAACGCCTGAATGGCAACTTAGGGTGGGTGATGCGTATTAGGCAAGGCAGGGCAGAGGTGGGGGACGGGGTCAGGGGGAAGAAAAGGGATGGAGGGGAGTGGTGAGAGGGAGAGGATGGCATGGGTGGGGTTGAACAGAGTGAAATTTGATGAGGATCAGAGACGTGACCAGATGCGATGGTTATGGGTAGAGGATCACGGCTCAAAGTTGTGTTTTGCCTTGTGTTCTCTTCTTCCCCCAAGCAGCAGCAACCCCACGTCCATCACACCTTCATCATACAACCCACTCACAACAGTTCGCTGCAAATTCTGTACGCCCCTTGCTGCCTTTCACCCCTTGCTGCCTTTTCACCCATTCTGTCTACCCTGCTGCCTTTTTCCGTTCAACCACTCTCGGCTCTCTGCTTTATCGGTACGCTCCTCGTCTGTGGCTGTCAGATGGTCTGATCTGATCTTGTTTGTGTGCGCGGGTGTGCAGCGTTGAACACGGCATGCAAGTACGCCACATGCCCGGCCAACTCCGTGTGTGCGGAGACAAGTGACAACAGGGGAGCCACCTGCAAGTGTGACAAGTATTATATTGGCATCAACGGCACCTGCCAAGGTACAAGGCTGTGGATTTGCACGGAATGTAGCGATGGTACTCACTTGCTCTTGCGGGGTTATGGACCCAAACTTTTTAAGCTTTTCAGTACATTGTATTGATCGTTTTCCTCTTCTTCTGGTTAAACCTCCTTGTGCAGACAAGTGCAATCTCGACTGCATGGGCAATTCCCGTTGTGAAAGGGACGCGCTTGGGGCCCCGAATTGTTTGTGCAACAAGGGATTCCAATATGCTCCTGATAGCAACACCTGCGTTGGTGAGTTGCGTGTAGCATTGTGGCAGAGACTCTTCAACACCTTGGCAGAGTTCAAACCCCAGTTCCCACAACCCGGAGCAACAAGGTGGAACGTGCTGATGTGCTTTATTCAAACTCTTCTCAGCCCAGCTTAGATTGCACTTTGTGCTTCTGCTGAGTCGATGAATGAATGATTGAACGCATTCTTGTAGTGCGTTCCCCTCATGGATCCATCCCGGTCGCACTATCCTTGCCTGCTTCCATCGCTCACCCCTTCCATGGCAGACAAATGTGATCTGGTGAATTGTGGGCCCAACGGCAAGTGCATCAAGGATGCAGATGGGAATGCCACATGTGCTTGCAACGCTGGCTTCCAGATGCCTCCCAACAGGATCACTTGCGTTGGTGAGTTGCACGTAGCAATTGCCGGAGCGAGAGAGTGAATGTTTGATGGGGCCTGGAGTGCAAGAATGTATGTGCTCTGCAAGCACTGTATCACTGCGCTCTGGTTCGTTCGCCCTACCACTTCTTTCAAATGATCTGCTCTGGTCTTCACTTCATTTCTCATGCGTTAAGCAGTTATCATTGATCATTTCCTCCTCCCACCACCTCCATTCCATTCTTTACCCACCTCACCTCTGTTCCTCTTATCCTACTGATCCACTTGCATTTCAGACAAGTGTGAGTTGGTGACATGCGGTGCCAACTCCCGGTGTAGCAAGGATGCAAGTGGGAATACAAGTTGCGAGTGCATCACCGGCTTCGAGAGGCTTCCGGGCAACGACACTTGCGTTGGTGAGTTCTTCTGGTTGAGTTGCTGCACTTGCTCAGCCATCCAGAATGGTGATTTAAGTAAAACGCAATAGTGGTGGACGTAGCATGTCACGCTGGCCTGCACCCAAGATTCGGGGACAGCGAGGTCATCTTTGCTAATCGCATGAATCTCAGGAAGATTTGACCTGCCTTTGGCTTATGAAAACGTCAGCCTGATGCACACGTTGCATACCTGAATCCAATGTTCGTGGTTGTGAAACCTTATCGTTCTTCTCTGTGTGTGTATTTTTTTCACTGCAGACAAGTGCGCTTCAGTGAATTGTCAGCCCAACAGCACGTGCAAGAGGGATGCAAACGGAATTCCAGCCTGTAGTTGCAACACCGGCTTCACACCGTCTTCTGACAACCTCACCTGCATTGGTAAGCTCATACAACTCAAGTTGATCGATTTCTTTGTCCAGACCAGTTACCAATCTGGACATGAGAATAAGGGATAGAGACATTGTTAAGTTACTGGCTACTGATGTGAATGCTCTGCAGACTCTTTCCGCCTTTGGTTTCTGAATAGTCCCCATGATGCTCACGTTGCATCGCTACCTGATTCCGTTTGTCATATACCCCGTGGTCGTCAAGCCTCCTTGTGGATCTATGCCTTCCCTCCTATCTGAATTCCTCGTTGTGGCAGACAACTGTGCTTCGGTGAAATGTGGGCCCGGCGGGACGTGCGAGAAGGGTCGGAACGGAAGCCCATTCTGCAATTGCACGATCGGCTTCAAACCGTCTTTTGACAACCTTACTTGCATTGGTGAGCTCAGTTGATCCATTTGCCCCACTTGACCAGTCATCCAGACAAAATATCAAGTGGTGGAATGTCACACTGGCATGCACTTCATTTTGGACTTGCTGGTTTCTGGTATCAGGAAATTGTGGGAATAGAATTGCACTACTCTTATGAATGCTCTGCAGGTTCTTCCTGCAGTGTCTGAAATAGTCCCCATAATGCTCACGCTGCATCACCACCTGATTCCGTTATGCCATATACCCCGTGGTCGTAAAGCCTCCTTGTGATTCTATATCATCCATTCTATCTGTAGCTTTCACCATGCCTTGCGTCAACATTCCCTTCTATCTGTCTTCCTCGTCATGACAGACAATTGTGGTGCAGTGAAGTGTGGGTACGGCGGCACGTGCAACAAGGATGGGAACGGAAACCCGTTCTGTAACTGCACAATCGGCTCCAAACCGTCTGCTGACAAGCTAACTTGCATTGGTGGGTTGGGGGAGTGCAAGGGGGTGTCTGTTGCGTTATCCACCTGTCATTGGGAGTTTGCTCGGGTTTGACCCATAAGTTATGAGCGAATCTCTCTCACTATTTTACTGTTCTATCCTCCCTTCAACCGTGTTGCTTCAGGAGTTGATAATTTGCAAGCATAGTGAACCTTGATTGGATTCTATTATTCTCCAAGATGAATAAAGAAGTCTTCATCTTGCCTGTGTTTATTTTTTCCAGACACCTGCTTTGGGGTGGATTGTGGGCCCAACGGCAAGTGCGCGTATAAGGACAACGGAGATGCAACCTGCTCGTGCAACGCGGGCTTTCAGATTGCTCGGGACCGATTGTTTTGCATCAGTGAGTTGAAACGGTCTCGCCTTTAGGCTTTCAATTGGTCGAACCAGTTGAGACGTGATTTGTCGCTATCATGCAAGCACCTTCCACTTAGATTTCTCTCTACTATTTTTAGCAAACCCTCCCCCTCACCGCCTCGCCCCATTTTGTTTATTTCCCCTTTGTTCGTCCCCGTCCTTCCCTGCACTCACATCAGGAACGGAGTGTTACATGCTGGGCTGCGAACCAGAAGGGACCTGTACAGCCTATTATGGAGGTTTCTACTGCCAATGGCGTAAGAATGGCTTCTGTCTTTCCATTGCACCAATCTCTACCACTTTGTGCGCTCTTAAGAGCATTCATTGCCCAGTTTCTGTGCTCATCCCGCCGTCCCTCTTCCCTCCCATCCTTCCCCCGTGCTTACTCTGTTGTGCAGGCTCACGCTGTGGTTCCTGCCCCTCGGGAGCATCTTGCCGAACCTTTTATCCGCCTAGCGGAGGTTCTTCTGTGCCATACTGCCAGTGCCCCGGGGGTTATGGAATGACCTCAACTGGTTGTGTCCAGGGTGAGATTAATACTCTCAACTCATTCATAGTGCCCCGTCTGCTTCCTCTCTCGTCATCACGCTTTGCTTTTACCTGAAGCTGACGAGATGCAGCAGAGGAGAAGGACCATGCAGCTGAGAGTTTCTTAATCAGACGCCGTGACCCCATGCTGCAAACAATAAGTTTCTTTGTCGTAGAGAGGGAATTTCTTCTCCTTAACGTGCAGCCGTCAAGTTGGACACTTGTCAGGTTTTCTTTTCCACCTTCCTGTCTATCCCCACTTCATAGCATCACGCTCCTTCATTCTCGTTTCCTCCGATCCATGCTCCTCATCTCCCCTGCCGCTTGTGCCATCCATCCTCAGGTTCACCTGACCAAGTGCTTGCCAGCAGCGTCACTCTCATTCAGGACGAGTCTCAGACTCTAACCAATGCATCCAGGCCCTACACGTTCCGTTACAAAAAGGGCTGCAATCCGTTCCCAAAGGAGGTTGCTGGGAACTACAAGTCTACGTTCGAAGTGCACAACATCAATGGTGCCCCGGGTTGTCTCGAGTGGCGAAGCTACGACACAAACAACTGCAGCTCGACACCTTTGAGGAGTGGATTCCTGGGCACTACTGCAATGTTTTCTTCTGCATCTCAGTGAGTGGCTACCATATTTGTGAAGTGCTCTGCATTCTGCATTTGTCTGACTTGGTTTCCACTACCATTCTGCCACCCGTGCTAAATCCCTCTTTATTCTGCCATCCTTCTTCCTTTTGTACGTTCTTCACTGTCGACCAGGTACGCTACAGCGCCCTATCCAATCCGCTCTGTATGGTGCGCATAGCTGATTCTGCTTGTCAAACTATATATATGATAATAGTAATGTTAGGTTTGTTAGGCTGTAGTGATGTGTATGATATAGGGTATAGCTTTTCTCTCGAGAGTTGTACTTGTACCTTCTCCACACATGAACACCATTCTCTCGCTACTCAAGTAAATTGGTTCTTGAGATGGTATCAGAGCAAGTGAGTTCTTAACGTAGCCTCAAATCGCCCCACCCCTTAGCACCTCGCGCCCGGACCCTTTAGCAGGCCGTGCCCTGCCCGTTCGCAAGCCGTGCCTTGCCCGTTCGCAGGCCCCACCCCTAGCCTGCCCTGTACTCACCACGCCCCTTTAGCAGCGCTCACGCATGCAGCTACACCTGCGCCACAGGGCTTTTTTTTTTTTTTTTTTCGTTTTAGAGTACACTGGTTTCCAGAGGCGTTTTTGGCATGACACTGAAATCCAGAGTGTTTGGAGAGCCTTTCTCTTAGGTGTCAGTGTAACACAAGCTTTCAGGTTAAAAACTCTGGCACCTCAGAGCAATTTTTTACTTCAACTCTGATGTGTATCTAGTGGGTGGCTGCCTACGGCGTGCGCTGGCATGCAATATGCCTTTCTGGCCAACACACGAGCGAAACAAGAGTGATATCTCTTGCGCTTCGGTCAAAACCGGAAGCACGGGGATAAGGGGGAATGTGGGGGTTCGGGGGTACATGTTGTTGGTGCAACCCTACGGTTTGCACTCAGCTTGTTGTCCGTGTGCGTGTGTGTGCATGCGTGTGTGCATGGAGTGGTATGTGTGCATGAAATAAATATATATTTCATGCTTATAATGGTGTGTGAATGATGGGTCATGATGTCGAATGTGTGTGTCGAGTCAATAGCGAGTTATCGCTAGCCGCGTGTCAATGCGGTCATTTGTGTCTCGCGCGGTTTCTATTTTGTCGTGTGTTCCGTGCGCGGTTTCTATCTTGTCCTTTTGTCAAACGTTCGGCGTGTCGCAGGTGTGTGTAGCAGACCCATCAAGAACCCAATGATGAGTTTTGTGATGAAGAACCCGAGCCTTGGTTCAAGCTTCAAGTGTTTTCGAAGCTCGCCAAAAAGGCTACACCTCAAGATATTGAAGATAGTTACATTACAAAGTGTAGTGTAACATTTCAGTTGGTGTAGGCCCTTGTGAAGGGTAGTTTCGAGACCCTTCTTGGTTGGGGACAGTGTGGCACTGTTCCCCATCACTGTACCTCGGCTTTTGGGGTTTGTAGGAGCTGGGAGTCCTTCCCAACTCGTAACTCTTCCTAGATGTTCGTAATTGTGTGTTCTAAGACTATGTTGCTGCCATAGTGACGTTCGTTCAAACCGACGGTGTGTCGTCAATTCTTAACGAAATCGTGCGATCTAAATTGCCCTTTGTAGGCCACGTTAAGACGCTCCAGATCCAAGTTGAATGAGGTCGTTTGGAGCTGTGACCAGATCGCTACGAACGTTTAAAGCCGTTGGGCAGAAATCCGACTGTGCACTCTATCTTTCGTTTTAGGCACATTGAAGCCTATTGTGACAAAAACACATGTATCCCCCGTATAGAGTAATCTCACTATCCGGGAACGAAACACTGGCGCTTCAGATTGAATTTCACAAAAACCCTGACAGGTGAGAGAACAAGTAACTCTCAAAAAATTTACCCAGCAGGTACAGAGTGACCCCCCAAAAACCACTCTGATTTTCAGAGAAACAGAGTAAATTACACTGATAAAAAAACCCCTGCTGCGCCAGCAGTACGAACCGCAGCCGCGCGCTGCAGCTGCCGTCCACACGCACTCTTGCCACGTGTGCACAGCGGCGTCAACATGCGCAGCAGTAGCCACACGCGCTACAGCAGCCGCGAGCACGCACGCCACTGCACGCGAACGAGCAGTAGCCCCCCGCACACGCAGCTGCTACTGCACGCACGGCATCAACAGAAGCTTCACGCTCCTCTGTGTTAAATTCGTAAGACAGGAATGATGAATGACTAGCAATAGAGTGATACAAGTACAAGATTCTAACTTGGGGTGTACCATATACTAAGCACCTAATTGTAGCCTTGCAGAACTAACACAACCTCGCAAGAAAACATACAAATATGTTTTCACAAGACCAGTCAGGCAAGAGAACAAAGCAATGCAAAGCCTAGGGTGGATCTTAAGATCACCACTCATTCTGAGCACAAGCAAGCGGTTACAAGGCTAGTTCACATCCAGAGTTATAATCGCAAGGCAGTATATACAATGATCACAACCTAGCAAGAGTAGACATACAGATATAAATATAGTTATCAGTGTACAACAAGTGCAAGATCAAGAGACAAGCATGTAAGGCATAACCAATAGAAGCTCTAGAGCAATGCAAAAATGCTGATGACCACTAGACGCGAGGGCCTTGGTGAAGACATCAGCAGTGTTGGGCCGAGAGGCCACGTAGGAAAGGCGAAGTTGACCACGCTGCTGCAGCTCTCGAGCAAGAAAGTAGCGAAGAGCAATGTGCTTCGTTCTGTGCTCCAGTCTCTGCTCGTGATACAAGGCCAGCATGGCCTTCGTGTCGACGTACAGAATTGGAGGAGAACGAGGCGCAACCCCAAGTCGGTCAGCAGGTAGGTCAGCCAGCGTAGCTCCTGTGCAGCCATAGCCCCAGCGTAGATCTCGGCCTAACAGCTGGAACCAAGCACAGAAGAAGAACGAGTGGAACTCCATGAGACAAAGCTAGAGCCAAGACTGGAGGTATAAACCTGTAACAAACGCTGAGTCACCTGGTCGTCGGGCCAAGAAGCGTAGGAGTGTTCTTTGAGTACCACTGAACCCTGTCCTCCAAGCACGAGCCCCATGCCCGATGTACTGCACAAGTAACGCAATATCCTCTTTGCAGCGTCCCAGTGAACCTTTTGGCGCCTACCGGGAGCCACGTAGCAAGCCAAGAGGCTGAGACGGTACACGAGGTCAGAAGGTGTGTACGTCATCAGGTACATGATGCAACCCACAAGCTCTGGATACGTGGCTCTATGGACTCGTCCGAAGGTGTAGCTGAGAGCGAGTTGCCAGTAGGCAGAGGAGTGGTCTATGGCGAGGAGCACTGGAAGCCAAAGCGTTAAAGGATATGGCGCACCATGAGTGAGTGAGTCAGGGTGATGGTGCGCCGTGCTCTGTCCCGAGTGATCCGCAAGCCAAGATAGCTCCGCAGCTCACCCAGGTCAGTGCAGGTGTGTCCCTCCTACAGCTAGGGCCAGTGCCTCAGTGTCAGCAGTAGCAAAAACCAAGTCGTTGACGTACAGGAGAACGTAGAATGGCGGCGGAGAAGTATCGGTGCGCAGACACAGCGACTGGTCAGCAGAGGAAGGAGCAAACCTAAGAGCCGCAAATGTCGTCCTCAGTGTGTCGTGCCATTTGCGGGGCACCTGGCGGAGACTGTAGACTGGCCGCCGGAGGCTCCACTGGGTACCAGCAAGAAACGACCAAGTGGAGCCAGGTGGGCGGCGCAGCCAATTCACCTCGTGAAGGCTACCCTGCAAGAAAATTGTGGAGAAATCGATGGAGTGCAGCTCATAGTCACGCTGTTCTATAATGTGCAGCAACACCCAAAGATTAGTCATCTTCGGGGTGAGGGAGAGGGTCTCGAAGAAGTCGACCCCCTGTCGCTGACTGAAGCCTCGAGCAACGTAACGCGCCTTGAAGGCATGCGGAGAACCCGACGTCCGCTTCACTTGGTGTAGGCCCTTGTGAAGGTTAATTTCGAGACCCTTCTTGGTTGGGGACAGTGTGGCACTGTTCCACATTACTGTACTTCGGCTCTTGGGGTTTTAAGAGCTCGCAGTCGTTCCCAACTCGTAACTCTTCCTAACTCTTCATAATTTGTGTTTTATGACTATAGTGATTGCCATAATGTCGTTCGTTCAAACTAATGTTGCGTCGTCAATACTTGGTGACATCGTGCGATCTAAATTTTTGATTGTTGACGACTAAAAGACGCTCCAAATCCAGTTTGAATGAGGTCATTTGAGGTTGAGACCAGATCGCTATGAATGTTTAAAGCCGCTGTGCAGAAATCCGACTGTGCACTCTATCTTTCGTTTTAGGCACATTTGAGCCTATTGTGTCTATAACAGCAGTTGGGCCTCCACCAACACAGCATATGAAGCCTCCCACACTTGTCATGTTCTTTGGTTCCAATGCATAAGAGGCATCGGAGAATGCAGTGAGGTACAAACGCTCAGGTTCAACTCAATCCGCGCCCTTTTGGCGCCTTTGTGCCGCTGCCGAGTATTGCAGCCCAACGGTCGGTGTTTGGCCAAGATACTTGGCCACCCTCATTACACCTGCTAACTGCTCCTCATTAGGGCATTGAATAACCCTAGCCAACTGCCAGGTAGAAAACGCGTCGTGTGTTGACCGCCGCATGCATGAAGCTGCACACCAATGAGTGTAAACGGCACCTCTCCTATTCGCCAACACTCTCCTCCTCTGGTCCCTGAAGAGAATCACTCTACAACGGTAGTGAGCTAGACTACGGGGTTGGCACGAACTACTAGGAGTGATCGTAGCTTTGCTTGGTTCCTTAGCACTTGCGCATTCACGGGAGAGATTGGCAAGAGTTTCCACTAGCAAAGTTGGAATTACAGAATGATTGAACAAGCAATGACAGAATGACTACATCAGGCACCTAGCAACCCTGCAGCTAGCCTGGTCGACCGCCAGCACAGCTCGGTCGACCGCCTGCCAGCGTTGCGTAGAGGAGCCGCGCCAGCACTGCAGAAAGGCGACCTGCCAACACTGCAGGTCGACGGCGTGCCAACGCTGCAGCAGAGCGGC